TCGTATCTTGGAAGTTCGAACATTCTCTGATATAGAGACGTACAGAGAGGGGGCACTGCGAGTCGGTCGTATTCTTGGACCACATTCGGTTACTCACATTCACAGTATGCTCCCTCAGGATCACAAAGTCTTTTGGCTTCTATATATTCCACCCAAAACCTCCGCCCTCTCTCTCTCTCTGGATAATTACTTAGAAAAAAACAATAGCTTTAATTTTTTTTCCATAAAACTGAAGACTTATTTTTTTTTTCCTTTTGAATATAATCATATAATGTTTTTTCAGTGATTCTGAAAGTTTGGATCAAAATGCTCTTCCCAAATTAGTTTTTTGCACAACGAAGTGAGTATACAAAATTCCTTCTAGATTCATCTTTTATTCGAGGAAATAAGTACACAAATATGCTTTTACGGGAACATTCTTACGAGCGTTTTTTTTTTAATGCTATAGGTAAACGCTAGAGAGCGAGAGTAGAGAGAGAATGAGTGCCTTGGCATTGACCGTTGCTTGGAGGAATGGAAGTAGAACAAGGGACAAGAAAATGCCCTTAGTCATCTTCAAAGAAACGGGCAAATGCATGTGAAAGAGAGAGTTTTTTTTGGAATGTTTTAGAGAGAGAGAGTACCTTACATTGACCGTTGTTGGGAGGCATGGAAGTAAAACAAGGGACAAGAAAATGAGTTTTGTCACCTTCAAAGACTGGGGCAAATATGGGAAAGCTTTTTAATGTTCCCCTTACAACGTAAAAATTTTATGTTCCTCTTATCCAACTGTTTATTTTTTTGAATAGAGGGTTAAGATTGTTTCAATCACAATGTCATGTCTCTACACTATTTTATTTTTAATTTTTTTTTATAAACTGTTCTGACACCAAATTATGGACGTCCATTCTTGTATTAAACTCGCATTAAAGAAAAATATAAAAAAAATATTTTCAATAAAATAAAATGACCAAAATATCTTTAAAAGTTTTAAAGGGTATTTTGGTTATTATTTTTTATCAAAAAATTATTATTAATATTTTTTATTGGTGTGTCCCGATAAGAAGATGGCACCTACCAAATTTCATATTAAAAAAAATTATATTAAAATAACTAAAAATACAATACTTTAAGACATTGGATCTAAAATCAAAAAATGAGTGGCTCTCTTGATCAAAATGGATGGCTGGATGGTAGGGGGAACATAAAACTTTTAAGTTGTAGGAGGAACATAAAAAGTTTTCCAATACATAAATACATATTAGAGAGAGAGCGGCGGACGGGGACGATACGTTACGGGGTCAAGTGTATTTGATAACGTGCCCACGTATGGTGCTTTTAAAAACTCATTAAACTACATATTTGGTCGCGCACTCATTAAATTACATTTTTTGTCGCACACCGAAAGACCCACATGGGGGAGATCGTCTCAGCAACTTATTGAACTTCAAAATCTTAATATGAGAACTTTAATTTGCCCATTCCTAAAAAGGGATGCGGTTGCATAAGCTCAAACCATCAAGGTAAGGTCCAGTTTAAACTTTTTAATGAGATGTAATTTTGGTGTCGAAAATTTTTAAGATGGCGTGAGAATTTATTTTTATTTTAATTAGAAAATTTTTAATTTTAAAATTTATGTAAATCAAACAATCTATCATCAACATATGAAAATCTTGAAAATAGATAGTCTAAGATATATTATTTTTAAGACTTGAAATATATATATATTTTTTTCCATATCTAAATATCTTACTATAATCAATTAAAACATCAAAACAACATTTTTCAAAAGATTTTAGAGGTGTACCTTAATTCTACATTTTAAAGTGTCAAACCTTATATAAACCTTTTCCTTCCTAAAATATCAAACTGTTTAAAATTTTAGTGGTTTATTGTCTTTTCATGATTTCTTCTGAAAAATCAAATCAATATATATAGATTCATTAGGTACTCTTTTTGACATTGTCAGCTGGATCATCATTGCGTTGTTAACTGGTTCATCTTTGCGTGAATTTTGACAAACTTTCTTTGTTCAATGAATTGGAAGCCTGTATAAAAATTTGAAGTGTAGAAAATTATGCTTTTTATAGCTCAACAAAATAAATATTATTCTCCAAACCAACTTCAAATAGTTAGAAAAAGGCTTTTCATGATGATAATAAGTTGGGAAAGCTTTTTATGTTCCCTCTACAACATAGAAGTTCTATTCTCCCCTACCATCCAGCCGTCCATTTTTTATCAAGAGAGCCACTCACTGTTTGATCTTAGATCCGACGTCTCAAAGTATTTTATTTTTATTTTTTTTAATATAAATTTTCTGATTATGAAATTTGGTACGTGCCATCTTCTCATTGGGGTGCACCTATAAAAAATATTAACAATAATTTTTCGATACAAAATAATGATCAAAATACCCCTTGAAACTTTTAAAGGTATTTTGGTCATTTTATTTTATTGAAAATATATATATTTTATTTTCGTTAGTGCAAGTTTAATAGATGAGCTTCAACTCTCGGACCAACTTTATCTAATGGTAAATATCAGTAGTGTTTCTACCTCATAGAGTACTAACACTTACTATGACTACTCTTTGAATAGGAACAAATATATGTTGTTTACAAAGTTGGCTCTTATACCATTTGCAAGCCAAGATCAACTCTGATAATTCTACGTTCTAAGCTAATCTTGTATAACCTAGATATAGTAATATTAAGAGCATTATGAGTACGGAAAATGGGGCTATATCTATAATTAACCAAGTAGAATAAGTGTTTTGATAAACCTTGATACTAAAAACAATTTTTAGTAACATAATAATAGACGTCCAAAGTTTGGTGTCAAAATAGTTTATAGAAAAAAAGTTTTAAAAAAATAGTGTAGAGACATGACATTGTGATTGAGACAATCTTAACCCTCCATTAAAAAATAGACTGTTGGATAAAGAGGAGGATAGTGTAGATGGAACATAGAAATGAAAACTTCCCTAATAAATTGCTATGAAAAAGAACTAGGGACTTATTGTCATAAGAGAAATAATCTCAACATTTCATTAACTCAACACGCCATTAAAGCTTACATGTAGAAAATCCTTTTTTTTTTTTAAGATCCTTGGTTCTCACAAAATGGGTACCATTATATAATGAATTATTATTTACACGTTTCATATTTACTGTTGCTGACCCTAATCAATGTACCTCTCTCTCTGTCTCTTCTCGCTCTCAAACGCACAAATCCACAGTGAAGTAGTACGAATCACTCCTTTTCCTAGACCAAGTGCACTAGACGTGGGTAATTAGCGATTGATTACTGGGACGAGCCACCTCGTACTCATTCATGTAATTCAGGCTCAGGCTCGCTAGTATCTTTTGGGTGCGCAACTCGAGGACCATAAAAAAATGGGAAACCCTAAAAAGTTAATAAAAATTCAATTTTTTTTATTAGTAGTATGTTTTTTCATCATTTTGGCGAAGATTGAAAATTGCTTTCGTCCTAAGTACTTATTTTATATTGTCTTTTATTTTTAGATTATTTACCCATGATCATAAATTGGTTTTCAAAATCTAATTTTCACTACTTTTTAACTTCATTTCTTAATTTTTTGAATTTTTTAATATTTTTATTAAAAATATATATTGACCATTTACTTTTAGTAAAAGGATGTCACAATGATTATTGACAGTTAGAATTGAAATATGCCGGTTGATGCGTCATTATTTGGGTACAAAATCCTAAATAAAAATTCTCAAATGTCACAATTGTTTTTTTTTTAAGAGAATGTTATGACATATTTGTATTTATAGGATTTCACATCTAATGATTAAAAATAATTATAATTTTTTTTTATAAAAAATAAATAGTCTCATCAAATACAATTTTTTTTACTATATTTTAACGCTTTTTGGCCTTGTCCATAACTTAACTCAGGCCGAGCAGTTAGCTCGGGCTTGGGCTGCGCACCCGGCCTAAGTCGCTCCTTCAAAAGTAGAGGGAACTTTTGAGTTAGCCTTCCCACACTAGAGCAGATAGAATGAAGTTTGGAGTTAGCAGTAGTAACTCCTTAAAAAACCCTTTTATTTCTTCGAATTTTTTTTTAGGGGATGGACACAGATCCATGCGCACGTGGATCTCCATGTCTCCGTTCCGATAACTGCCTAAATCACAAAAAGTCCTTAAAGTCCTTTTTATTTCATAATACTCATCCCACCGTTAACTAACGGGTGCGCTTTGTATAGAGTCGACTCTAAACAATCAAACAAGAGCGCACCTTCAATGTGAGAAATGTGGTTTTAATATTAAAAATATTTTATATAGCTTTAAAATATATTTTTATTTTTAATTATAAAATTTAAAGTTTAAAAAATAATGTAGTAGGTCTATAAAAATTTGAAAATATTGAAAATTAATGGTAAAAATATGCATTACAAAATACACTATTTTTAAAACTTGAAATCTATTTTTTCTCATGATAAACCGAGGGTCACAATTCTTTCTACCCATCCTGTATATTGTTTTTCTTCGTAGTGGCTCCGTTCCAAGCCCTATTTCATAAAGAACTTCAAAGTGGCTCTATTTCATTATATTCCATCCATATCTTAATTCAATTCATTTAATATCCCTTTGGGGGCATTGACATAAAAGATATAATTTTTAGATATTTTTATTGGTGTCATTCACATAAGAGATGTTATTTTAAAATATTTTTATTTTTTTGTATATATGAAAAATTAAAAAATTACTGTATAATAATCATTCAATTTAAAGATATTTAAGCATCAAAAACAATCTTTTCTAAGAGAAGTTCCGTACGCTCTAATTTGATTGTTTAGAGCCTGGACACTGTATAAACTTTTTCCCTCACCCAATCCATTTATTTATTATGCTCTAGAATAAAACGAATAAAAACGAGAATTTTACCACTGTATCTATCACAATTGGGAAAAAACAAAAAATCAAAATTGACTAATTTACTCTGTAAATCCCTAATTTACTCTATAAATTAATGGCCTTTCCTTCCCATTTTTGAGTACTGACTTGAAGTTGGGTTGGTATAAAAACCTGTAGGCCATGGCTCCAGCACAGTGACCGTGACAGTCCCGTGAGCTTGAGGGCTAGAAAAGAGGAAATGAAAGCAAACCCAGCTGTCAATTTTCTCTCTCAAACAAAACCCATATTTTTGTTTTCTCCGTCAAGAGCCATAAATCCCTCGATTTGCTAAAACCCAATTTCGGTTATCCAACGGCCTCGCTAATAGTTTGTTATTAACTGGAGATTATGACCTTTTAATGCACGTTGTCCCCCACTTTTCTGTTATACTTGTTTTCAAATGCTGGTTATTTCATGAGCCAGATGTCACTCCCTTTGGCTTTGGTTGCTGATCCTTCGGGGTCAATGCCATTACTTGATCTACTCAGAATTCCCCTTAGTGATAATATCTTCTTTGGCTATTTGGCCAGGTTTCTCTGGGCCAAAACGGAAAACCCAAATCCCTTGTGACTCTGTATTGTTGGTTTTTTTCTCAGGATCTTGTGAGTTAACAACCCACATGGAAATTATGGATTTCCCTGTTTACTTTTCATCGGGGGGACGAGGGTGGGGATGGTGTTGCATTGGGCTGATTTGTTTTGCTCTTTTTCCCTGATAATTATTGATTTTGATGAATGTTGCCGATTGGGGTTTTTTTTGTTTTTTGGCGTGATTTAGTTCTTTTGTTTTTATGATAATTGTGATTTTTTAGTGGATATCAGAGACGAAGATCTTGTTCCATGGCTTGCTGACCATGCTGTGAATCAAATATGAAGGCCTACCATGTGTAAGTGGTGTTGGGTGGTTCTACATTGTTTGATTCTGGGGTTTTTTTTTTAAGCTTGTGATGGCAATAAGGTCTGTGAAGAAATTTGATTTGCTTTACTTTTTTTTGCCTATTTTAGGTAGGGATAAAGGGCTGCGCAGAGATCATCTGGCAGTTTGGAGCTTTAATTAGAGTTGGTTTTGTTTATGTTGCAGCTTCAGGGCAAGAGAAGAGCTCAGAGGAGACACTGAGACCCCCATTAGTCCCTTCTGAGAAAAACAATGGGGTATCTAGAAAACCCAAGACCAGAGAGGTCACTTCTAGGTATAAATCAGCCCCTACTTCTTCCCCTTTTCCATCTTCTTCTTTTGCTAGTCCTGCAAGACGCAGCCCTTCTCCTAACATCAACCGAGCAAACCCAAGACCTGAATCTCCCTTACCTAAACGCTCACAGTCAGCAGAGAGAAGGCGGCCTTCAACACCTTCTTACTCGTCGCGACCCTCCACACCATCGTCCCCTTCGAGACCATCTACACCCCCTAATGTCGAGACACAAATCACTTCGAAACGCCCCTTGGGTCGAACAGCCGAGGGCTTATGGCCGTCAACTAGGAGCCTCTCAGTCTCTTTTCAGGCAGATACTTTCTCTCTCCCTATCATCAAGAGAGAGAGACCGGTTACACATTCCTCTGATCACACATTGAGGCCTTCTGCCAATCTAGTGCGTGGGCAGGAGGGCACACCATCAATGGCGAGGAAGGTGACTCCTGAAAGGAAGCGGACACCTTTGAGAGGGAAAAATGCTGATTTATTGGAGAATTCAAAGCCATTGGATAATTCTCATTGTCGAGAACTGGGGGATCAGCAGAGGTGGCCTGGAAGAAGTGGAGGGAGGTTGACTGGAAATGCATTTACAAGAAGTGTGGATTTCTCAGAAAAAGCTGGTAAAGCTACAGTCTCCCTGGTTCAAGGGAAAGGAAATACAGTAAGAACACCGAAGCTCGATGGCGAGAGCAGGTCTCCTGAGGGTTCTATCGCCCCCTCGAGAGCAGTTCGTCGAATGTCGTTTGATGGGAGAGAAGATGCCGAGATGGGTTTGTCTGATCGGGGCTCTTTACGGGGATCGGATGATGGAGACTCGGTTCTTGCGCCTTTGCAAAGGCGCTGGCGATCTCAAGACTCAGGAGTTGGGGTTTCTCGTTCTTCAAGTGAGAGTTTGGGAGTAGACAAACGGATTCAAAGTGGTTCAAGTAGCTTCACTGTAAGAACTTTAGCCCATGAAACCAACATTCCTGCTATTTTTTTGACTGAGGCAAACACTCGAGTGCAGGGGAGGCCCAAGCTTGTTACTTCACCTACAGGTGGCAGCTCTGGTGTATCAGGGAGGACATCATCAACCCTGCGATTGAGTAGATCACATCCTGCTTCTCCAAGTAAGGCCGCATCAACGACATCTTCCTCAAGGGGCATGGCTAGTCCTACGAGGACAAGAGTGGGGTTGCTGACGCCCTTCCCTTCGGCCAACTCAGTGGGAACTCGTACCACCGGGAGCTCACCTTCAGTGCTTAGCTTTGTCGCTGACGTTCGGAAGGGGAAGAAGGGTTTGAGCCAGATAGAGGAGGCCCATCAGTTGCGTTTGCTGTATAATAGACACTTGCAATGGCGCTTTGTGAATGCCCGGGCTGATACTGCTTTATCAATACAGCAAGTCACAGCAGAGGTATAGTTCTAACTATGCTTTAGAAATTCAAATTGTGCACTTGAAAGATTTTGTGTCCATTGTAATTAATCTTTTACAAGAGCCGAATATGAGAAATTCTATGTGGGGTCTGTTTCAGATGAAGAGCCCTTATTTGGAGAAATTTGAATGCATGATCTTACAAACATAAACGTGTGCACGCTATCTATTATTATATATTCTGCAATCTATGTACAATGCAGTAGTTGATGGAAACCTAAAGAAAGAAACCATAAGCCATGAATCTATAGAATCTCGAATGTTCCTGTTTCTAGCTATTTGCGGCTTCATTACATTAATAAAATGAAAATAAATAAATTGGCATTATATCCTACTCTAAGCTATGACTATATGACATCTTTAAGGATGGTTCCTTTCTGTATCATTTCTTTGCTGGCAGCTTCTTGTCAAATCCAGATTCCAATTCATTATTTTAATCAGATAGATTTTTCGCATTTAAATATTTAGTTTTCTTTTCTTTTTTTTCATTTTGATAATCTAATGTTTGTAACAGATGCTCCTTTACAACGTTTGGTTCAACACTTCAGATCTGCGTGATTCAGTTATATTAAAAAGGATCGAGCTACATCAATTGAGGCAAGAGACTAAGCTAAATGCAGTACTTAAAGAACAAGTAAGATTTTATCTACCATCTTTAGTTTACTCTTAATTAAATTGATACAACTTTCTGACATTTTAGGAGTGTTAACTGCAATATATGCTAGGATTCCCTTCTTACTTGTATATGGTTCTTATATTTATTGTTATGTGTGTTGCATATGGTTCTTCTATTATTGTTATGTGTGTTCTGAAATTAAGCCTTCTAAGCATACGATTTCAGTCCACCATGATTTGTATTCTTGAACCATGGAACCCTTATTATGAACCACTAACATCTTTTAGAAATCTACATGGGTGGAGTTTGAATAATTCCTATATGCCTTGGTGGAACATTCTTTTCTGGAAGAAGAATTATCATTTTATTGCCAAAACTAAGAATATTTTCCTCCCATAACTTTGAAGAGAAAATATGTTTTTGTTTAAAAAAGACAGTGAAATTACTCTTTGATGATGTCGTCTTTTCCTCAAAAAAAAAAAATGAAGAGAAGATTTTAACATCTCATTTATGCATGTGAAAGCTTAGGGGATTGAACTAGCCATACAATGATGACAAAGCATTGGGGGAAGATAGCGAAATATTTTAGGTTACATCTAGTGGAAACTGCTTCAAAAGAATGAGATGGCCCACTTTTTAAATGGAACTCTTGTAGGACACAGAAATCTAGTTTCTGTATTAAGGGTGAATACAAATTTTATCATGTACTTGACATGTTTGTTTGTCAACAAGTATGAGATTCTGGGCTATGCATATTATGGGAGATGCATGTGAAGAGCATTAAATGCTCACTGCACAAAACAATGCTTGCCTCTCTTGGCATTGTAGAGAGGCTCAGCTCTTTTCTAAGGCAGTGATACTTGCCCACTTTTGATGCCTAGAGTTAGGTGAGGGCATTTAGATTGCATTAGTAACTAAGGCCTAAGAGTGGCACTGAGACAGGGGAACCAGAGGAATGATAGGATCAACCACGGTACACTTGATCAGTGTGCAATTAGCCATTACTTGGGCAACTCATAACATGCCCAGCTAGTCATATTTAATCATTAGCGAGTTTCCCTCACCAGAAGAGGGCCTGATAGAAATTAGGAGTAGATTCTAACAGCAAAGCTCGCATTCATCTCTAAAGAAGTTCATGCTTCAGTCTCAAAAGTTGTTCTAGGTTTTCATGTTTGCAGGGCCATTGGCAAGCACAATATGAGTTTAACAAGTACTTTCGATAGAGGGACTGCGACAAAATTGGATTTTGAGTGAACCTTTTCTGTCTGGAAGAGACCCTGAAATCAGTGAGAATATTGGGATTGTTGGCAGGGAATCTTCATTACAATAAGCACAGCAGATAGCTTTTTTTTATTGTATAAGTAAAGGTTCTATAGAGTTGATGGATGCAGCATATACACAGAGGTTGGCTTTGCAGTTCCACTGTCTCCGGCTGATGGCTGCCTTTGGATGCTTGGTAGATAGTGATCAGATTCAACAGCCATCTTTTGAGGCAGGGGGCTCCAAATTCCCAAATTGTGTGATGGTATAAGTGTTGAGGGCATTGTAGAGCACCTTTTAATCTTTAAGACCTATCCGAGCTGTGGTCCTTTTCATTGGAGATGCTTTGCTTTTGGCAGCGACGGCTTGAGTAATTGAATTTTAGAGTAGTGAAGAAAGGAAGGAAAGTGGCAGGAGACCACCTGGAACCATTTTGGAACACCTTTTGGAGCTCCTGGTTCCCCTTTTTTGCATTATGGAACTAAATGCAGAACTTTTTTATGTTCTTTTTGTGTAGCCCACCAAACAATGGCGCCTCTGCACTGGTCTGCGGGCTGCCATTTTTTGTAACTTGTATGCTTTTCCTTTTAATGCAAACATTAACAGATTCAAATAAAAAAAAAGAAACAAAAGAAAAAAGAAAAAACGGAGAAAAGGAAAGTGGTAGGAGAATTTAAGTTTTAATTACCGGGATCTCTTAGCATGGATGCAATTCTACGATCCCGGAGCGAGATCATAGAAATTTGGAGGACGGAATAGGGGGATCATTAAGAAAGGGGAAGTGGTAGGAGAATATTGACTCTTATTTACTTGGATCCCATAACATGGATCATGATCTCGCATTGTCAGGAACATGGTCCAGCCATGTTCACATCTGGTCAGTTTACAGGTTAACACACCAATGTTCATTACATTTGTGAAAGGGAAAGAAGCAATACATGCATATCAATTAAAAAAGGCAAGCTATAAATTCATTTCCATCAAAAAAATAGTTATTGCATGTCAATGAAAAAGAAACCAGTAATTACTCTAATCTATGTCCCGTAAATTTTTCAAAGAAAAAGAGATCCTTAAATCTGCATCAATCACAATTCACAAAAAGAAAAATTTAAATCCAATGCTCCAAAAATCGCATTTTGGTGTACGGGATGATGGGTTCAACAATTGTCACAAATTGTTATGGGATTTTGACCATCATCTTTTGAAATGCGTATAAGATGGAGAATGATCTGTCTTTTCCATCTCTCTCTCTCTCTCTCTCTCTATATATATATATATATATATAATATATATATAAGTAGTATATACTAATAGAGACTACTTACTTCTTACGTAGTAAGGTTATATATATATATATATATATATATAAAATACGAATAGTATACAATGAGACCATTTACCTTTTGTACAAGGTGGTCACAATTAATCTTGACCTTTGGATGTGAAATTGGGTGGTTGCATTTATTCTATTGACCAAGCACGAAGTTCAAAAGAAATATTTTCGAAATTTGTGACTCACTCAAACTAGTAAATTTCACATCGGGTAGTTATTTTTTTAAATTTATTGAGTTTTATTTATTTGTTTATGGGTCCTGATGGCCTTCCCAAAGTAGGAAAATCCTAGTAATCAACAATCCCAGTTCCTGCTTCTGCTATCCAAAACTATGTTTAGGCTCTTATCAGGGAGGAGTGGAAAGAGAATGCCAAATAAGGCATGGAGGTGCCCTCCTAACTGATTTTGTTGGTTAACTTCAGGTTCCTTGATAATCCAGTCTCAAAGGAGGTCTGGGTGATCATTTGACAAATAGCACATTTTGGTGCAAAAGTCTTATGGAGGTAAGTGTAGCAGATTCCATAGAGCAATTGCGAAGACTCCTCATTAGTGTACTATGGATCCATGGATTCTTTTGCATCTTACTAATCATGGAATAGGACACTGATTCATTGGACTAGACATCATCATCATCATAGCATTTTCGCAATTAATTGGGGCTGGCTAGTTCATTGGACTAGCCCCCGGACTTGGAGATTGGAAAATATACTCAAGGCGACTCTACTTATCTCTCTCTTTCGATTGCATATCAATATATTTGCAGAGCTTCTAATTTTGATTCAGATGTCCTAGCTTGTTCTGGATGATCATTGAGGTGGGATTTACCATTGGAACTCAGTTCCTTCCATGAGAATATTAAGGTGGGGTTTGAGCATCGTAGACTCTATTCTTAGAGTAATTCTTTCTGTTCTTGCGCTAATTATTTTTATGTGTTGATCTTTTCCATTTATTAAATAAGCTATAAATGTCACTTGAAAAGAAACCCGGGAATTACAATTTGTTTTAGTTTTGAAACTCTCATGGTACCTTTACTAACTTCATTGGGTTGATAATACCAAATTTATACTGAAACTGTGTTTTTTATGTTCGGAGCAGTTGTCTTATCTGGATGAGTGGGCCTTAGTAGAAAGAGATCACTCTAGTTCGTTAGCAGGGGCTATTGAAGCGTTAGAAGCCAGTACGCTCCGCCTTCCAGTTACTGGTGGGGCCAGGGTATGTGCAATTGGCTGTAAGCAGTGATTTTCTAAGTTTTTTAACGATGTGTTCAATAAATTACTGTGGAAGTTAATTTACTGCTAGGATAAGATAGGTTAGTGATGTATTATGTTTCTACATCCTTCTTTGATGAATTTCACAAAATCTTATCTGCTACATACATTTACAGGCAGATATAAACTCAGTCGAGGAAGCTATCAGCTCTGCAGTTGATGTAATGCAAGCAATGGGTGCATCTGTTTGTTATTTGCTATCAAAGGTGAGATGCTGAGTGCAATTTTCTCTTCCTTCATAGTAATTCTTTTATGCTATGCTCCATCAATAAATTTGGTTATTGGTCCTTTAATAGTCTTTACGTGTGAAATCTTGTTGTTTTTAGTCTCATATCTTTCTAGGTGTCTATAATTTGTAGAGATGCAACTAGAAAAGACCCATTTGACTTTTTATAAAGATGTAGAGGTTTTATGCCTACAGCCTACTGTTTTGAAACCTTCTTTGGCAGATGGTTCCTATAAATTTATAAAGAAACAAACTTAGTTTGTATTGCATAAGTAGGAGAATACCACTTAGGCTGCTTCAATTCTTACTGAAGACAACAGCCAGAGTCTTGCAGAATAAAATTGGAAGACAACCATGCTTTTTTATTTGGAGTTTAGATGGAAAGTCCTTTCGTAGGTCTCAGCAATCATCAGATTGTGTGAAAACGTTCATGTGTTGAAATGAAAATAAAAGTTCGATTGTAGACCCTGTTGCTACTGACTGATTCGTTTTCATCTGATACTATCATTGAGAGGGTTAAGTGTGTTCTTTTTGTGATTTTAATTTGTGTTCAATATGAAATATGTGATGTAATTTTTCAGGATCATTCATTGATATTAGAATTGATGTATGCTTCTATTTTAGTAATGAAATTTTTTGGTAATTATAAAAGAAAAATCAAATTGACGTACAAATGTATATCATTTCTTTACAAAACCGATCTATGTACAACAGTCTGTACAATTCCTTAAATAAAACCTGTAAAATTTAACCACTTTTACAATAGCTTTGGAAAACCCTTCTGTGGACAGCACATCTGCCATTTGTCTCTCATGAGGGTGATATTGTCTGCCTTAACTTTGCAACGTGATCCATGATCTCTTGAGCCATATGTTATAATGACATGCGTGTTGGGTGTGTTTTGAGAATCCAAGATGCCAACATCCTAGACATGTGTATGCAAGACACAGATTAAGAAATCCATGTCGACATGAGTGTCTTGAAAATTCACCTTTTTTTTTGGGAATCACAGACATGGTGTATGCTATGGGAACATGCAAGTCTGCAGATTAGTAAATATGAGAAGCGTGTCCGTTTTGTAAGACACGCATGTCCGAACTATTGGGTGCATATTTCTATGATTTAAACATGTGGGTATTTGATTTTGACCCACATTTTGTTTCTTTTAAGTTAATTTTACTATTAAAAGTCACAAATTACTAGATTCTCTCACCCACGTTGTGATTCTGATTCAGAATCCCAATTATGTGATTCCGACAAGGATTCTTCATGGAATCTGTTGTCATGAAGTGAGGATCTTGATTTCTTATTTTAGGAATCTCGATTCCAACACTCGTAGAATCTTGTTTCTAATATTTATTGATTCTCAATTCTGCAATTCTTAAATCTTGTTTTTGCATTTATTGAATCTAGATTCCACAGTAATGATACTTGATTCAATTGTTTTCAAATTCATATTCCCGAACATCAAATACCTCGGTTCGTAGATGCAAGAAACCAAGAACAAATCAAACATTGAATCTTGCTTCCACCCTTATAAAATTTAGATCATATACATATATATATAGGGATAATCTAAACTTCACAACCCTTCAAATTACAAAGGTTCAAGATAGAGAGAGTTGTGAAGGGTGGATTTATTAATTTTGTACTCTATTTTTAAAAAAAGTTACTTTTGTGGGGCAATTTTGTAAATATTACTACAAGACAAAAGGTACTTTTGTCATCTCAATAAGGGGTAAAGTTGAAATTTTAACTAAAGGACAAGGCACTCTACAAATAAAGTTCCAGGACACTAACTTCCAAAATGCCATTGTATTTTTGTGAAAATTTC